GGTGTGTTGTGGGAATGGACCAGCATAGTGACAAAGAGATTCAAACGGGAAGTTGATCTGTTTTAAGGGAATTCTAAAATGAGACTGTACCAACTTTGATGTATTAGAGGGGACATGGGAAAATGTGATGTCTTGATCAACGTGATTTTTGTTTAATAGAATTCTTTTTGCATTAACTAAAATAACAAAAATGTATCCATGGCTCTAAATTTAGTCAAATGTATTGTGCTCATTCCAGGGTTTGTGTTGTTGCTCTTGTGAGAAACTGTATGGTTTTGTTTCCCCTTTCTTTCCATGGTGCTGGCCACCTCCTATAAATTCCGTGTATGTTTTGTCTAGTGAGAGTCTTGTTACTTATTGTACCCTGGAAAAGTGGTGCTGATTTCGGTCCTCTGTCAGTTTGAGAGGCTCAAGCTCGATATGTCCTTTTTGAATACTTGCTATTTTCTGTGATGTAACCTGAATGGAATATGATTTTAGGATCTTTGTTAACTGTTACAATTCTTGCCCTTTTCCTCTCTATTGAGGCTTGATCACTTTTCCTTCCTGCGTAAGCAAGATTCAATAACTGTAATAACAAAAACTGTCACAATTGAAGACCACTTTGCTCCCTGTTTGTGGCGATGGACTCATTTTTTTGTTGTGATTTGCTAAGGCTCATGGCAGATCCATCACAAACACATTGCAAAATAGAAACATTTGAAGCTCTCAAGAGCTCAAACAAAGATATGCACTGAATTGTTTGCCAAATCGCCAATATGCTATGATTATGGAGAAAACTGATCATAGACCAGCAGTTATAAGCAGCTTTTCCCCTTTATGAATCTATTGGATGACAGCAAAACCACACTTAACTATTCGTAATTGTCCAATTATTTTAGTATTATTGTAGAATTATGCAATTTGAGAGTAGATATTGAGATCCGACCTATTTCAACAAGGTCCACTCACTTTAAAGTTTCTGGTTCAGTCAATAAGCGCGTAGTGTTTCTTTACAAAGTGACATCGCCAACTACTGGCCTGGCAGCAGAATACTGCGTTTTTGTCGTTTTCGCAGATCCGTGTGAACGGGGATTGTTTTGACAACGTTTTCATCGGTACGCAAAACTTTTCAAAAACGCAAAGGAAAAACTGTTCTGTTTTCAGCACATCGTTGAGTAAACATACCCCAAAATGGATCTACTATCAGCTAAGTCAGTGTTTCCCAACCTTGTTCCTGGAGGCATCCTTATCTGGTCTCCCTTATCTGGTGTGCCTCAGAAACAAGGCTGGGAAACACTGATCTTGATGAGTAGTTAAACTGAGGAGTGTTACAATTCAACCTCTGTTACAACCATCTCCATTATAGAATTATAAAATGAATGTGGATAGGTTGTTATTGGAATAGTTTTTGTAGCTAGTTTTGAGTTCATAGGGTAGTTCATCTATGACTTTTGATTGCAGACTTTGATACTTTTTGTGTGTGTGTGTATGGAAGAAATGATCATTAGTGGTTGTAGTGTAGCCTGTGCTCCTTAATCTTTTAATGAAGTTTAAACACACCACCACATTCCTATGAAACAAATCTCTAATCGAACTCTCTTACAGCATTTTATTGGCTGACCAGTATATCAGCCCTGGTTAATTGATTAAAACAAGTGTTAATCCTCAGCAAATACTATAGTCCAAAGCCCAACAGATATGCACAGCAATAGAAATGAGACCAATTAGCAAAACAGATTGCAATCCATGATTAGATATTGTGATCTCGAACACTTAGACACCATTAGAAAAAGTACAGGCAGCTCAAACCACATAACTATGTGACTGAACACCCTTGTGGAATTTCAGTTCCAGGAACAAAACATCACACATCCAAATAATCTTAGTGGAGGAGATATAAACTCTGGTTTGGCCACAGGGAAATGTAATAGATATCATTTTAGTTTTTTTTTTCAGGAATGAGTGATATGAGGTAATACTAATATACATTATTATTAATAATTTAGTGATGTTATTTTACATAATAGGTCTACCACAGCATACACATGGCATGATCTCCATGCCAATCTGATTTTAAAACATTTTAATGTTTTATATAATGCATTTTCAACTGCTTATGCATAATGCAAGCCTAGCTCGACTCTTAAGCAGTTATAGAATTCTGTGATTGCTGGGCTAAAGCAAGTTCATAAAATGGATAGTTATGTTTCTGAATTTATGTTAGAAATATTGTTAGAGCAATATATTATGTGTAAAAAGAAACGGTTAAATTTTTTGATAAAAATAATTAATGAACAACTACGGAAAATAGCCACATAATGCAACATTAGACATAAATATTATATAACATGTCCTCCAACTCAATCTTTTGTTGGTGGATGCAATTACCTAATGGATCATTACAATTGTCCAGTGCATACAAACGGGTGTTTAGGAAAGTGCTGTGGTTGTGTTTGTTCCTACCTGTATTTAGCTTTTTGGCAGAATAAAATGTCAGGGGTAGCAATTAGACTTATAGCAACTACTGAAGGGTATGGAAGCTTGTTTCCGCCTCTGAATAAAAAAAAAAATTATAACTCAGAAAACAATTCTGACTTTCTTCTCGCAATTATGACTTTTTTTCTCAGAATTGCTTGATACTGTATAAACTAGCAATTGCGAGTTATAAAGTCAGAATTGTGAGATTTAGCAATTATCATTTAAATAGTTGTATTCCGTGGCAGAAACAAGCTTTCATAGAAAGGTTTGGACTCTCGACTGAAAAATGTGTGCTTTTTTCCGCAGTTGTGATCTTTGACAGATCCTCTTTCTGTTTCAGTAACTCCTCAAACTACTGGGGCGTTCGTCTGCTAGCTACGGGAATGGCTAATGAACATAAAGCTAATCTTGTGACACAACATTCATTTTTCTTCGTAGCAGCGAACAGTGGCTTGTCTTAGGCGCTGAGGTGTGCTGCCTTTTCTAGAGCACATAATCCCTCAGGCAGAAGAGCCTTTAGGGTATTTGAATGTTTTCATTTCCATATATATTTAATTTTGTCGTCTGACATACTTTTCCTTTCTCAGTTTCGTGACTCACCAATAAGCATTCCACAAAGAGATACCACATATAAGTTAGCTACACACAGAAGTCACTCTGTGGTATTATGGCCTTACCAATACTCCTCAACCTAGTTTTTTCACATTTGTTTTATATAGTTCTAGACGTAAACGAAGGGACTCAGACCATCAAAAGACAGGCCTAATTCATCTGTTCTGCAAGAAATATTTTGAACGTTTTTAAGCACAGGCCCAGACCGAGAGAACAGAAATAGCAGTGTTAAATAGCAGCTGGAAGGAGAGCAAGATTTTTTGAACTACTTTTTTGAAGTTGAAATGCTGTTCAAAACATGATAAGCTTATGTTCAGAAATATTGAAAAATAGCAAACGATGTCTTTGAATGGTCTTCAATTAGGAGCTTTTCCAACCCGAACTCATGGGAAAATGAAACAATTTCACGAGGTGGCGATTTTGTATACATTTATAACAAGTACGCATGAAAGCCCACCGCTAAATATAACCGTCACTGGGGGTAAGCAGATTGTACAAAAACACACAAGTGAGATTTGTATGAATTAATATGAATTATAGTCACCAATTTAGCTAAATGTAAAATGGTTACGAATTGCCAAGATATTATGTTTCCCTGCAAACACCCACACACGCTATAAAGCAGTTCAATTTTCATACTATCGTACTGCATATCTTGCTCAGAAGTAATAGACACTAATAGACTTTACAAAAGTGGAAACTACGCAATATTCAGTGTCTCAGTAAGAATAACATTATAAGTTTTTGAGATTTATGAGACAGACACAATAAAAAGCCACCCTGGTCATTTTGGCTCTGGGAATTTACATCATCCACTGGACGAGAGTTGACCTCAGGCGAGGGCAAAATTGCATATAAATATGTGGGTTGGTTGGCTGATCAAAAATAATGACCTCAAGAGGAACTCTATAATGAGTCGGAGCACTTTTCCATATCTAAACATGCCACGCATGGCTGAACGCATTCATATTCCGCCCAGTCTTGTAATACACAGAGTTACTCTGCAGAGGCAAATCCCACAAACAGGAAGTTGCTGTGGACTAGAAGAGAATCTCAAGGACACAATGTCAAATCTAAAGGCTGTGAGTCTCAGAGGAAGTACTGGAGGTGTTGCTAATCAAACGAATATTATGTTTTGCCAGTTGTATATAGAATATCAAGAAAGAATGAATGTGATGATAATGGTCTTATTTGATGAATACAAAAAAAAATTTAAAAAGCTGAAAAATGCAACTAGATGTACAGTGCATTGATTTTATCAGTTTGTATGTTCCCTGGGATCTATCACTTTGGATAAAATTGTCTACCAAATGAATAAATGTATGAAATGTGAGATTATTCTTTCACAAGCTCTGGTATGGGAAAGCAGTGTCATGAAATCCACACTGACCCTATTTACTTAATACACTTATAGTGCATGATTCTTTGATATATTATTGCACATTCTGCTATGTGAAAGCCACGTCACAAACTAATACATTGATGATTGATAAATTAACTTTCGCCCTACGTATTTTCTTGTTGAACATCATGTTTCACTAAGAATATTATTTGATGATTTTTTTTTTACATTTATTTAAAGTATAGTATACAAAAACAATGGATAGTGCAACTAATGCTAGTATTATCTACAAAATAGAATATTATTTACACAAAAAAAAAATGTTTTAATGGGCATTAAGGGTTTCAAGCTGAATTATTTTTTTTAAAAACTGCTGGAAAAAAAGCACATTGTTGCCTGTAATACCAATTATAACACTGCCAAGATTAGATTTTTAATCTTTAACCTGTGCAAAACTGAAATCTCAATTTCAAAAAGGTCTCAGCAGTGCAGTGCTGTGTGTATTAGATTCTATTTCACGAGGTCCAAGAGTTGAGTAACTCTTTGAGAACTCTTCAAGATGAGAAGGTTGCCTTAGCGAACTCACCCGATGACATGAGGGTGCTCGGTGGTGAGGAGAGCGAGTGGTGACTTGTCCCTCTCGATGAGCCAGACGGTGTAACGTCCACTCTGCCTCGGGTGCAAAAACACTGTGACATCCAGACCACAGGGCCGGTGGGTGGCACGTAGCCAAGGGCTCAGAACCCACGGTCCCGTCAGAGCTGAGCCATTCACTGGGAGAAACCGCCCTGGAGAAACAAACAGAGAGAAATATTTATTTATGTCAGAGAGCATGCAAGATAAATCTTTCTTTCAAGTTTCATTGGCCCTGTTTACACCTGGAATTAAGATGTGTTTTGGTCGATCGGATCACAGACACATTCCCGTTTACAACAGGTATTTTAATTCATCTCTTTTGTCCACTTTCAACCACTTCTGAAATAAGCTCACTCAATTTTCATAAGAACAGGATTGGAAACGAAAGGACAAGACATACGGAGAGCAGCAGCTTTCGTTTCTGCTCTGATAGATGCAAACACCAGCCAAACGCGGTGAACGCGTGTTATGGTGTGTTCACACCGAACGCGAATTTAATTATTTGCGCGAGTAGATTACATACAAAGTCAATGCAAAGACGCGAATAGACGTATCATTCGCGCCGGGCGTCGCGAATGACGCGAATTTCTTCCGCACAAGTTGAAAACTAAACTCGAGAGGAAGATTCAAGCGTCTAACTAGACGCGATAGACGCGTATTTGACGCTCTATTCGCGTTCGGTGTGAACACACCATTAGAAATCAGGAATGGTGAGAGAACATTGCGCTTATGATTTTCATTTTCAAATCAAACTTCGACCACATGAGTGTTTAGCCTACACTACGAAAGCAATCCGGTCAAATATGTTTTAAACTACCCCTGGAAGTGGTTGAAACTGGACAAGCTCAAAAACATTTCAAGATTTTATTTATTTTATAATTTTGGAAAGTGAGTTCTCAACTATGTTTAATGAGATATCTCATACTTTTTCTTAAAATTGTTTCCATGCCCCACCTGTGGCAGAAAAAGTTTTTTTGCAATACAAGATGGAGAAAGAGAGTACATTATACCAAAACAATGTTTTACACCTAATATTATTATGGAGAAATATCACGTTGACATAAAATAAAAATAGTATATCAAAATATGGTAACACTTTAGTTGAGGGTCCAATTCTCACAATTAATTTGATTATTAGCATGCATATTATAGGGTATTGGCTGTTTATTATTACTTATAAAGCACATTAACGCCTTATTCTGCATGACCATATTCAACATCTCTGAATCCTTACAATTCTTAAAACTTAGCAATACCTTACTAACTATTAATAAGCAGTAATTAGGAGTTTTCTGAGGCAAAAGTCTTAGTTGTTAGTTAATAGTGAGAATTCATAACTCAAAGTGGGATCCAATATACAAACACACAAAAAGCTAAGCTCTGATATTGTGGTCTTGAAAAAATCAAATGCAAATGCAGTCCAATGTTTCAGTTCATATTAAGAAATATAATTTTAGACTTTAGTTCATAAAAAAAAAACTACAGTTTATGACATTGTTGAGATTTCTTGAGATATTTTCTCAGGTGAAACATCAGAGATACTAGAGATGTCAGAATAAGGTTCTGTTTGCTCTTCATTTAGTCTTAAGAGAAACAGTTGAGAGATTAAAGAAATCTTGTCTTTGATTTTTTCTTTTCAGTGGGCGCTACCAAAGTACATTTTAGAGCAATCAGAGGTCATCTTGGTAACACCTGCAGGCAGCTCATTTCTGTGATGCTTGTTACAGTCTTCTTGCATTCAGAAAGACAACAACAATGAAGGTTCTTTTGGGGCAAAACCACTGAGCACCTGTGACAGTGGAATTTGTAGTTGTAGAGAACAACCAATTTGAAGTCACAGAGAAAAATATTTGAAGTGTTGGAAGCTTGTAGACTTTTTTTTTTTCTCCCACAAACACACACACCAGTTACACCTTCATAAATTCTTCACTGCAGGTGCACAAATCCTATTCTATGAATCAAATATTTGCTACAGTTGCTGCAGTGAATATGGCGCAAAACACATTCACACACCCGTATCAAAAGTCATGGACAAAATTTGCTAATTATTATGTAAATTCATGCAATGCACACTTGTGTGGAATATTTTGTCACAAATTCATTGCTTTTCTTGTATATGTTTATAGTACAATCACAAGTCCATAACTACAACTGCTTGAATCTGCCGCTACGAGTCTTAAACTGTGTTTTTTTCGCTAACAAATTACAAGTTCCACACACTCTCACTTTTGCCCCATATACTGTATCTGAAATGTGGAGCGAAAGTGATTTGTGCACCTGGCGGACACTGTTCAGAGATCAGAGAATTTTGGCCAATCAAAGGAGCTTATTTGAGGGTCTGGACGATGGGGCGACACGTGCGCAATCAGCAATACTTTGTGTTTGATTTTGTTTTACGCTGTTTAGCTATTCTCGTGTGGCAGTATAACAGCAATATTAAGGGCTAGCTCTAGAATCGCATCTTATCTGTTTAGTAACCATGGCGATTTCAGTTAGGATCTATTGACTAAAGTTTTAATGAACTTAATAAAACACAGGATAGATAGACTGTTACTGTTTACAAACAAATGCTCCGCAGTTCTACATTAGCCCTTGATTCATATTTCACCTGGATCAGCACAAACTCACGATTTTACAGAAGTTATGATCATTTATTTTAATTCAGTACAACAGCGGACAGACATTTTGAAGCACAGCCATGGTGACAATTAAATAGCCTTTTATTATAATGAGATGATTTGTTGTTCAAATACGTTCCAAGAAAGTTGATTCGGCAAAGTTAAATTGCATAACAAAACTGTCATGCTTGAGTTGCCGCGATAAATTCGACTGGAAGGGTTAAAATTACGGTAATTTCCGTCAGCTATGACTCATTAGATCTAGCATTCTGGGTGGTCTAGCAAGTTTTTGGCAATATTGTATATATAAATAATGCTTTTCTAAACTGAAATAGCAAGACTTTCTTTCAGGACATACGTTTTAATATAAGTAGCCTGTTTTCTTTTCATACTGTCTCTGTACACTTCTCAGAGAGTCTGCAGGAATCTGGATCTTACGAGTATGTGTGAAAGTGAAATTCATAAATCGGTGGCCCAGGCAGCAGACACTGAGCCCATGTAGAGCCAAAATAGATGAGTGAGGGGAGGAAAATGACAACACACCAGAGGAAAACGAAATAAATAATGAAAGAGAGGAGAAAAATCAAAGCTCTGTCTGTGGGCTTTGATTTAGAGTCCTCCCTCTCAACAGCCTCATTCAGCTCTCTCAATCAGGACATTTTCCACAGGGCCAGAGAAAAAAAAAAGACAAAAGAAAAGGAATGAAAACAGCATCAGTGAAAAGATGGAGGGAAATTGTCCCGGAATGTAGCATTTTCATTATTCACAGAGTTATCTGAATCCAGCAAGGAGTTGTTAAAGCATCATATTTTGGGGGTTTGGTTTGTTCAAGATGAATTGTTATAGGCATAATTTACTTATGAACTCTGAACTTAAAATATTGCTCTAAATATGTAAAATTCAATGCATGCCAAATGTGCATCATGAATAATAATAATAATTAACAATAGGGAGCATAATAATAAACAGCAGGGAATTTTTGGTTAACCTTCGCTTAAAATTTGTATTTAATATATGTATAAAACAGTTTCTTTTTTATAACTTTTTTAACTTTCTTTTTCATAAATCTGGTTAAAAAAATAACAATCTTTTAATGTTTGAAAGAATTAAAGATTAAGGATGAATGGCTTTCACAATCCCCAGTTTGTTGAAATTCTTTAGGCATATCTTAAACATGCTGTGCCCTTCAGAAGAAGTAAGTAATAATAGACCGCATGTTTCTGTAACTGACTGCAGGGTACTTGAGGTTTTGATTTCTGTTGAAAATGTATTATTAAACTGATTTATTTTTTTAAACTGTGTGTTAAAATTCAATGAAACGTATCAAGTTTAAATATGTTCGCAGCAGGGTTTGTGCTAACTTCTCCACACTTACAAAACCAACTGAGTGTGTAATTTGACTACAGTTTCCTCAACTTTTGAATACCACTTTTGCCTCTTGGTGAAAGCATTACAAAACCGAACACTAGTCTTGCTGCTCACTGACTCACTTCTGATTTCACATGTCTTACTTGAAAATGTATTTTGGCAATTGTCCGAAAGTCCAAACATAATTGTTAAAACATATTAAGCACTGCTTATTTAACATTCTCAAGTCATGTCTTAAACTCCCCAGCCAGAATAAATGCACATGAAGCATAGCTGAAATAAGGATAATACATTTGCACAAGAAAACATACATAACTATATGCACTCACCTAAAGGATTATTAGGAACACCATACTAATACTTTGTTTGACCCCCTTTCGCCTTCAGAACTGCCTTAATTCTATGTGGCATTGATTCAACAAGGTGCTGAAAGCATTCTTTAGAAATGTTGGCCCATATTGATAGGATAGCATCTTGCAGTTGATGGAGATTTGTGGGATGCACATCCAGGGCACGAAGCTCCCGTTCCACCACATCCCAAAGATGCTCTATTGGGTTGAGATCTGGTGACTGTGGGGGCCATTTTAGTACAGTGAACTCATTGTCATGTTCAAGAAACCAATTTGAAATGATTCGAGCTTTGTGACATGGTGCATTATCCTGCTGGAAGTAGCCATCAGAGGAAGGGTACATGGTGGCCATAAAGGGATGGACATGGTCAGAAACAATGCTCAGGTAGGCCGTGGCATTTAAACGATGGCCAATTGGCACTAAGGGGCCTAAAGTGTGCCAAGAAAACATCCCCCACACCATTACACCACCACCACCAGCCTGCACAGTGGTAACAAGGCATGATGGATCCATGTTCTCATTCTGTTTACGCCAAATTCTGACTCTACCATCTGAATGTCTCAACAGAAATCGAGACTCATCAGACCAGGCAACATTTTTCCAGTCTTCAACTGTCCAATTTTGGTGAGCTCTTCCAAATTGTAGCCTCTTTTTCCTATTTGTAGTGGAGATGAGTGGTACCCGGTGGGGTCTTCTGCTGTTGTAGCCCATCCGCCTCAAGGTTGTGCGTGTTGTGGCTTCAAAAATGCTTTGCTGCATACCTCGGTTGTAACGAGTGGTTATTTCAGTCAAAGTTGCTCTTCTATCAGCTTGAA